AAGTGTCAGTTGTGCATTGTTCTGTGTGCTCCTGAAAGGCTCTTCTGCAATTATGTCCAATACTTGTTCCTCTGTGTCAGGAACCCGAACATCAATTGTCGTCCACTATCTTCCTGGAACCACTTTCCTTGCCCTTTGTTGCCGTGAGGTCTTTCAGCTTCTACTGTGTTACTGTAGCATCTTCCCTGAACTAATCGCATATCCGCAAATTCGTGAAAGGAAATTCAAAGTAAGTCACAGTTTGACCAAATTATTGTTATTATTGACAAGAAATTTCTACCTGTAACTATCTGTTAATGCCAAAAAATATCATTGGCGCTTTGACTTTTCATCAAAAAATAGCAGAAGATAACTTTTTTTATATCAAAAATTTTCGTAATTTGAAGCAGATCGTAATTTTTCTTTTTGCATGCTTAAGTATTCCCATATGCTTCCAACTAAACATGGAACACTTTGAAAATAATGCTTAATAACGAAGTTGAAATCGGTTTTCAACTGTTAATATCTTCCAGAAATTATCGGAAAATATTTTCAATATTTTTCTCGTACCTTCCAAGTGGGTCCCTATTACCCCTTAAAAGGAATGACGCCAATTTTGAATCATCCTGCATATCTGGCATTTCCGAAAATATTAAGTTTATGATTAGGCATCCATGTGCCAATCTCCAGTTTCCGGATATTCCATTCTTAGTGAATCACCCTGTATCAGATGTAAAGGGAGTTTATTCGTCTTTATATCGAAGCAATTAAAAAAAGGAAAATTAAAACAATCACTTGAAGTTGCAGCCATAATTTAGCGAAATGAACCAAATAGTGGCATTGAACAGTGTTATTTTACAGTGACAAAGTTGAGTTTTCAAGCTATATTTTACGATCGGTCCCCGACATGAAATATGGCCGGTTTTCTTATTGGTCACCGACATAAATTACCCGAGCATCCTACACAGAAGTCACAACTGATTGCTAATCTGCGCTTCGCAAAATGACTACAACCAGAAGTAATTTGGGTAATTAAAAGGTGTACTTGCCCAGCTCATCATCCGTGGCTGAGCTTAAGGCTATCCGAGTGACTCTTATAATTAATTTTTGAGCCCACGTTGTCTTTGAAACGATTTATTTGCAACGTACCTGCGAGGCGCAATTTCGTAGCCAATTTTCTACTACCAGGTAGTTTGGGAAAAACTGCGAAATGTTATAAAAGCCACAACGGAATCGGATCGCACAATGAGAACCACACGATTAATCATCGGGAGCTTGATTGAAAATTAATCAACATTGTAACTAGGCAGCTGATTGCTTGTGACCGTTCACACCAGGGGCGTTAAATTCGGGGTTTCACAGTCATCCTGCGCCCATTAGACGGACTAATTTTTGTGGCTTCGGTTACCATCTATGTGGCCATTTGCGAAGAGATCACTGTGCCTTCGAGGAAAATGTTATGTAGATTAGAATTACAGACAACTGAGTAGGCGCGTGTTCATTTCAAAATGCCAAAGGTCGTAAACGAGAGCGTCAAGAAACAGTAGCAGAAGAGTCACATACGGAGGCCCTTTAGCTAACAATCTAATAGAGTATGCATTACATTAACAACACTGAACGAGTTGAAAAAATTATACCCGTTTCAGGAAATAATCAGAGGCAACTTCGGAAGTTAAGAATTAGAGCTGTTAAAGAATATTCTATTTAAATGTTGGAAATGGATCTCCCAATCTGGAACAGCCAAAGAGTTGAAAGTTTCACCGAATATTGGCAAAGGATGTTTCTTAATACCGTTTTAGTTTGCTTGATGCCTGATGTGGCTCTGTTTTGGGGATTTGTAAGAACTATTAACATAAAATAGAGGTCTGTTTCCGAATAGCCCAAGTTCGTATTTAAAAATGTGCATCTTCCAATCTAGGAGAGCTAGAGATTTGAGAGTGTCACCGAACCTATAAAAGGGATGTCCCTAAAGCCCATACGAGTTAACCTTGCGTGACTCTATTTGGGGATTATTCAAAAAAAATTAAATCTGGAACGGACGTTTGTTTCGGAATATCGCAAGCTCTTATTTAAAAATGTATATCTCCAACTAGAGGCCAGCGAGAAATTCAAAATGTTCACTAAATGGAAATGGTGCTTCTTGAGGCCTTAACAGGTTCACTGTTGTATCTTTAACTGGGGAGTTTTTGGGAATCTTTTTTAATTAGTAGTGGACGTTTGGTTGGGAATAGCGCTCGGTCTTACACAAAAATGTTTTGCTACACAGTTTCGACAAAGTGGTAAACCGTTAGTGATTTAGATACATGAAAGTTTAGCCTGCAGTAAGTGCAGATGAATTAAATTCAGGTAGCAGATGCGACTTAGTATCAAGGCAGTCACCCGCGGTGAGCCTCAACGCCAATTTTCCTTTTCAGAAAATGCACATAATTACTTAACTACCAGGTTACACGCTCGCCTCCTACCGATTGGATTACGAGAAAACTTAATTGTTAGGAATAAGAGCAAAATATATTGGATTCCCGCGGGCGATTGGGCAAGGCAACGACGTTCGATAGGCAGAAATAGCAGAGAAACCAACCGGCAAAACAGATATATATATATTTTTTTATTTACCAGTGATTGATGAGCATCATTATATTGCACAGGAGCTTCAAAATTGAGTAAAATGTAAAGTTCTTGCCAAAACCTCTGCAATTGCTCAAAAATGAAAAACGTTAAGAAACCAAATTTCTTGGATATCTTTCCAAAGCCAGCAACTGGTATAAAAGATATTCATCCACTGATAGTTCCTTTATCTGTGAGCGAACAATTCTGGATTTAAATAAGGACGCTTATCATTATACAAAGTCCTAATGTGTTTGCCTCATTCGCACACCTGTATATTCAAATGAGACCAGAGTAGCTTAAGCGCCATAAATTCGATAGTCCCGATTAAGCAGTAAAAGACATCGAGAGCCCAAGGTCAATGGGTATTTGTTGGGATGAAGCCATTGTCTTCAGGAGTTGTCAGCGTGGGCACATTAACCACCAATAAAGTAAATTTTATTGATCAAGATAGGCGTCGATCGGTGATCTTTGACGCGAACGATCCTGAGTCGATTGGAACCGGGACATTCCTGAATACCTACAATCTTTCTTCAGGGCTTTTATCGATTCCCATACGAGGAAAAAACCCCAACATCAATTATCATCATTCGACCAAGTCACGAAACAAATCCTAATTTCAAAAAATCGTGTCTTGGAAATCAACTGAAAAAACTGGTGGTTGTTTCAGGTCGAGCACCAATAGCTTTCGAGGGCAATTTCCTTTCAAAAACCGCAAAAGGTTATGTTTAAATTCATTTAATTTGCCTTAAATAACATAATTTCCCCGTTTCGATATTTGGATAAGTGGTCCCATTTTCGGTTTTTCTGGGAAAGGTCCGGTTGCCACTGAGTCAGTGGCAATCTTGATCGATCAAACGGATTATATAATGGCGCTATCATCTGCACGCATCACTGGAATTCTGGCCTGGTTTATTACATTTACCTGGGCCATAAGGAAATGTTTTATCGAATCTATTAAAACCATTAATGTTTCAGTTAAATGCATGAAATTGGCTGCAACTTTTCTGCGTACCTTACTCTAGTAGTTGGGCTTAAAGAGAGCGTCAATTAAGATAATTTAACAGCGATAGTGAATACTTTGTAAGAGCGATGTCGTAAAGGTCGACACATTGATTGTCCAATAGAAATTGCTGAAAATGTTGCCGATTTTGACCTTTAAAATTATTTGTCCGGCCGGCACCTCTATTCTACCTACCTATATTCAAGCACCCTATATACAGGGTGTCCTGTAAGCACATGGTCAAAAGGATACTGCTATATTTTTTGCATCAAATTAAGAAAATCTTATCTAACTTTTATTAATAAAAAATATCTGGCTCCTCTGCTATTGATGGTCAAAGTTTTTCAAAAAATTTACCTTTTTTGAAGTATTGGGAGAATGGCACCATGTATTGTGCTGAAACTAGCGCAAAAACTATGAATCCTACAAGATTTTACAAAGAGCACAAAATTGTGAATGGATGATTAGTGAATCAGCCAAAAAAATGAGTTGATCCCACCCATCAAATAAAAAGTTCTGGTATTTTTTGCACCACGACACTCAAGAATTCACCACTTCTCTGAAATGGCTGAATTCGATTGTTTCATCAAAATATGAGTCTTACATAAGATCAAATTCACAGCGAGTTTCACCAAAATACATCTTACCATTCTCCCGATATTTCAAAAAGATACATTTTTTAAACAAGTTTGACCATCAATAGCAGAGGAGCCAGACATTTTTTGTTAATAAAAGTTAGGTCAGATCGTCTTCTTTTTGTCCAAAGAATAACGCAGTTCCCTTTTGATCATGTGCTTACGGGACACCCTGTATATTATTCAAGAAACGGAAACTAAAAACGAACCAAAAAATCTACTGTTTTATAATGGACATATCTAATGAAACTGAATCCTGCTGTTTGATTTGCTTTGCACAACTGTTAGTCTTCTTCTGGAAACTGACTTGGTGAAGAATCCTATTCTTCATATATAGGTACACATTTTCATAAAATAATATATTTTTCGTAGACTTTTGACTTGTCTCAACGAAACAAGTGAGATTTATGAGAGTTTTTTTTCTGAAACGGTTACATTGTACTTAACCAAATTTGGAAAGATAATTTCAATATTTTTATGTTGGTTTTATATTCTTCGGACATAAAACCTTGTAAATATTTGCGTTAAAAGTCGTGTTGAACCAAAATCAATGGACACAAACATCTCCACATTCGGTGTTCCATCCTACAAGTATCGAAAGTGCTGATCGTAAATATTTCAGCTACTATTGACCTTTTGCCACTCCTTATTCGGGTTTTATGCTCTCTTTATTGGATTTTGCGTGGCAAATCAAGATTATGCTTATATGGTCTGCCATATACTCACTCGTGCCAGCTGATCCAAAATCACTTTAGGGTTGACTAAGTAAAACAACGTTGTTCATTTAAATGTGAATTTTATTCTTAAAGAATATCAATCAACTCGTTGACTATTTACACTTACCGATTAGCAATTGGGTCTAATATTTTACAGGATTTAACTAACAACTAATTTGAACTAATAAATAATACTTTTTACATAAAAATAAATTAATGTTAAATAGGTTTACCGGGTGGCTAAATCATTCGAGATTTACATGGACAAAGCTTCTGAAATAACATGAAGCACATTTTACTTCCAAATATACAGGGTGTTTCAGCAGTGTTTCCGGCTAGTGGCTTTTTCGTCTTGAGGAAATTTGTCTGAAGGCAAGGATCTGAAATGTTTATGTGCGAACATTTCGACTAACAGATGTGTAGACTTTTGGAAAAGTAAAAAACTGAAATAGTTTGAAAATCGACAACAAAATTGCTTGAATTGTGAAATTGGACAACCCGTCTCCCAGATCTTACACCGCTTGATGCCTATCTTTGACCGGTTAATAAACATCGATTTTATATAAAATGTTCCGTGACGAATATGTAAACGATTAAAGGTTTTCTCAAATTAATTTAATGGCAAAATCAATCTTTCGCTATCGAGCTACAAGCAATTTAGCCTTAATTATTTCGGCAATTAGACTCAAAAGATCCACAGTTCATTCTATCGATTTTTTGGCAACTGAACTCTAGTGTTGAGAAGAATCGAATTATACAACTCGATCTATTCGATTGTAAATTAGAGCAATTTCAGTGAAACCAACATTAACGCTGCCAATATTGTGCATCGTACAATAACAAATAAACTTAAAAATTTCCAAAAGTTTTTCAGAATAACCAATCATTTCCAACATGTTCGAAGTCTGCAATAAATCGTACGATTTATCGATCGCACACCGATTTCACCCGTTACGCTCATATGTGGTGATCTTAAATAATTGGCCCAATTTACTGGCCAATATATCTGGGCAAACTGCGTAGTGTAATACCGGCATTAGCGAGGACAGTAAAGTTTTAACGATTATTGTGCCAACCAATTTTAAGAGGATAATTAAACTTAAAAAAATGGAAGAGCCAGTTTTCAATGATTGGTTCAACACTTAGTTTTGGAATAATTTGAATCGATTTGCATATGATGATAATTTTTCTTTCTTTCTAAAAAGCCTATTGACCAAATGAGTTTTTCGGTCCTAAGTTATACATTTCATCCTAAGCCATAAAATGTTATTTAATATTAAATTTAAATTTATTTCATAACAATTTACGAAAATCCATTAGCATTAATTAAACTTTCTATAAACATTCATTAGAGCGCTCACTCGAAATTACCCTGTACAGCGCTTGGGTATGCAAACCTTTTAGCTAAAAAAATCTGAACTTTGTAACAGATATTGTTTATTTTCTTTGAAGCCTAAAAACGTGTCGTAAACGCTACTTTCAGCTCTTTTATTAACCATTTTTAAATTTGTATTTGGAATATTGTGCCGTTCATATTTTTTTCATTCAACTAAAGTGTGTCGTGACCCTGTAATCCAACAGCCTTTTGAAAAAACCTTTAGATGGAGCACTGTCTAAGATTTAGTAGAAGGCAGGGATGAATTAGCCACTCGTTTACAGTCAAACTAAATGTAAAATTTCACATTTGCTCCCATACGGCCATATGGTAAGGCTTACCTACAATGTTTAACCCCAGCCAGTTTTGGAAATACAGTTAAAATTAAAACACGAAAAAGACATAGAAAAATAAGGAACATTGAAGTATTATCTACAAAGATTCCGCCAGTCCTAAAGCTTTGCTCAATTGGGGCTGCTGCCCTTCTTACCACTCTAATCTCTGTCGTGCATGGTTAACTGCAAGGGTTGACCTTCTCTTGGGCTAGTTTCGACTACGTCCACCGGACTGGAAGAACGCGACCGTCTTCCCCGGTCATCTTCTAGGTCGGACTCATCATTCACATTAATTTCCTCATCAGAATCGGACTCGTATTCCTGCATTCGGCGCAGATTTTCTTGTGTAAGCAGCGCGTTGGGCACCAGAGCTTTGAAAGCGCTGCAAGTAACAGTCATAGATAAGTTCTATATTGTTGAGGCGGATTCATTTTTTTACAAACTTCTTTTTGGGTATTTCGCCTCAAAAATTTTTGTCTTTAAGAAAGACAGAATTTCCTCACCTCTTTTATTACAGATTGATAAATAGTGCTCCTATTTCGCAATAAGAACGAATTATTTATCAAAAAGTAATCAAGAAC